CATACTTTATATTTAATAGTTTTGATTAGTATATTAATCTAAAATTTAAGTTTTTTCGAATTTATTTACAGGTGCATCAAGTTTCATGACAGAAGCTATGCTGTCAAACGCGCAAACTTCTTATTTCTTTGATGTATCGAGCTCTACAATCGAGTTACCAGAATATAGGCTTAGACACTCTCCTGCTACGTTCGAATATTATTTTTGCCAAGAATGTGCACATCATTGTATGCATAGAAATAAGGATGTGTTTCAGTGTTGAAATTTTATTTGTCGTTGTATTTAAAAGAATTTTGAGTTAGAAATTTCCTCTAAAACAATTATAAATAAAGCTACCAATATATGAAATCTATTTCCTCTTACTTTGCATTTGTTATCATTAATATTTATCTAAAATGTTATGTATATATGCATTCAGCTGATAAAATTATGTAATTTTAGTCACTAAAAGTAACTAAATAAATTCGTTAAAGCAAAGTTGTCAAGAACTAGATAGTTTAGATTTTTGAAAATTATACAATAAACGTATTTTCAAATTCCCATTTTTGTAATTAAGAAAATAATAACTTATTGCAAATTGCATTCAAATGTTTGATCAATGTTATATTTCACTGTAAACCAAACTTTTTGAATAAGAATCCGTTTTAATAAACTTTTCATGGTTTGGAATTTTTGTGTTCAGTTTTGTTCTATAGATCCGGTTATCTTATTTTGATGAATTTGATAACCGGGAATCTTGTGTTTCGGAAGCCCAATCTTGGTGCTGTCACTTGTCGGATTTAAGGCCCCAAGAGATTTAGATGAAGACGCCACTTGTTAGCAAGCACATGGCCAATTCAATGTTGCTAAGATAATGTTCTCCTTTTTCTTCAATTTTCTTTGTATTGTTATTTGTTAAGCCTATTCATGTGTTTTTTTGTTTTCTTTCTAATGTGTATACTTGAAAAATGTACCAATATTCTCTTTAATAATAGACCTACTACGAATTAATTAGCTTTGACTTTCACCTATATTTGTGGTTTCACTCTTAAGAACTTTTTTTGTGTGGTTAAAGCCAAATAGCATAATTAACCTCACTTATTAATTTGTAGAAATGCATAGTATTGTTGCATTTGATTGGAAAGATAAAAGACAAACAAAGTTACATAGTGGAGATTATACTTTTATAATCAAAGTTAATTAAACATATAATTAAAAAGCAATCATGAATCTCCCCACATGCAAATAGATCACTCTCACACACTCACACTTACACACCAAGAAAGCTCCATGAATTTAGCAATTTCACATTTGCTTCCACACTTTATAAAAAGACAACAACACATGTCTCTCTAAACATTAACACCAAAAACACAACAAACCCTAAAAAAAAACCTCAAATCTTAATCAAAAACCTTTGGATTATGGACTCTGTGAATTCTTTCAAAGGATATGGAAAAGTAGACGAAGCTCAAAATCTAGCATTGAAGAAAAAAACAAAAAAACGTATAATCTTACTCGCCGTCTCCGTCGCAATCTTCCTCATCGTAATACTCGCCGCCGTAATCGCTACCGTAGTTCACAAG